GATGCAGTTCGAATGACATCAATACATTGTATGTATGAGTATATAGCCAAAGAAATAACTAAATGAAACGACTGCAAGAGATAAAATATACTCAAGCTGAATGTAAAGAAATAAAGGAATTAAATTATTTAAAACTTTACAAAACACTTACTTATCTTTGAACTCAGTATAACAATTGTTATATGAAAATACACTTTAACTATATTGGATGATTTTCAAACTAACAACCATCACTATGAGCTATGTAATGATACATCTTTTCCACACTTTTAGAATGGTCCTATATCGTACCGGGATATAGAACTCTCAATTAAGTGGATCAACTAAGCTCTGCCGAAGGCACTAAAGATTCATCTAAAAAATATTGTAGCCATGTGGGCAAGACATGGTTTATAGGTGTTGTGAGTTGTCTGAACTCTCTCTTATATCGGTGCTTAATACTAATCCCAATAATATATACTCTTTGTCAAATGTATAAAATAATACGCTTTTTCTGGTCTGAGATAATTATTCAAACTATCCTCTTTAAAGAGGTAACTGCACTAAAATATTTCTGAAACTTATTTTTCATTTAGAAAATAAGGTTTCTCTTTGTTCAATATAAAAGTACATTTTTGGTTGAGGTAATTACTCAAAAAGGGCTTCAGTAAGAGGTAATTGCTCAGTACTCAATCTTTATGAGAACTTCTTTAATTTTTCTAAAAAAGATATTCTCTTTCTTTATCTAAAAATGATACATTTGGAAAATACTTAGTTCCTTTTTACTCTTATTTAAATCTTGGTTAAGCTCTTTCTCAAACTTCACTTTACTTTTTCAAAACTCAGTTTAATCAATTGTGTTTTCTTTAAAAGATTTTTATAAGAACTCAATGAATACTCAAAGAAATAGGGCTGATGCTGGAAAAATAAACATGAAAAATCAATTCAAGAATCTTAATGCAAGATATAGCAATTCAATAATTAGGAAATAATTTAATAATAAGTAACTGAAGAACTCATAACTCAATATCAACTCATCTCAAGAAAACTCAAATCTAAGGATATAACCTCATATTATTCGTTTACTGATTTGAAAGTAGATGTCGAGCGTGAGGACAAACTATTCCAACACTATGATAGCCTTACATACGTGAAAGAATAAAGTTATTGGAGAAATCGGCGAAGCTCGAAGAATGCTCAAACCCCTAGTTTTTTCCCCTTAGAACCTTTTTTCTAGTGACTTGAAGTGTTACTGAACATAAAATAAATTGATTAACACTTTATAAGCCCTTAACTAGGTAAAATGTAATTTTTTAGACTTAGAATATGGATTAAAATAGTGTAGTTTAAATACCAAACGCATAGGTGAAAGATCACAATGACTGCAACTTTAAAAACAGATAGATTGCCCTTGAAGCGAGGTTTCACGGACCATTTAAGGCTCTTTGGTCCATAAAACTCTTCATGGGCCATATAGTCATCTGTGAACAATTAGTCTGTCCGACAGAGCTTCACTAAAAATTGCATAACATTTGACTTTGAACTCAGATGAGACAAATTTGGTGGCTTGTGGAAAGGTGACTCAGATAACTTTGATTTAATAGGTCGTGTTCACCTAATTCATTATGTGTTGAGGCATATGATTGTATGAAGTATACCCAAAACTTAAAGGTTGATAGGTGACTTCTACGAACTCCTAACATACCATACAAGCCACCACGGGCTGTCTAGGATCCCCTCCAGGTGACCCCACCTTGGAAGCCCTGGATGGTTGATCACCTTGCCCTAAACGTGTCATGGACCCCTATACGGTCCAGATAGGGAGTCGTGAAGGGTACATGATCCATTTTTGGTGTGTGGACTTGCCCGTCAACCCTCTTTAGCAATTCTCAAAGTTTGAGGTGTTACACGAATGGTTCAAATTTTAAAAGCGAGTTATGATATGTTATTGAATAATTCATGTCTTTCCTTGTAAATTTTTTGGGTGTTACAGTAGGTCACAACTCAATTTACTCAATTCATACTTTGTCTTAGTTGTCTAATCAACCCAAGTTTTAACAAGTTAAAATTTCATGAGCTAATTTTGTATTCTCATTTGACTATTGGTCAAATGTAATACTACTTTTGTCCTTATTTACTAGTCAAATTTTGACTTTTCATGAGCTAATTGTGTTTTCATTTGGTTAAGTCTAATATTCCCTCAATCCTTATTTACTAGTCAACTTTTGACTTGACACAGTAATTAATAAAATAATAATTGATATAGTAAATTTATCATTTTACCCTTACTAACTAATAAGGTCTCAAACATATTTACTCAATACATTTTCAAAGACATTAATTCATTGTTAATAATTGAAAGTGTAATAGAAAAAAAAATTCTTCCTCGATTTGTCAAAAAAAAAAGAAAGAAGAGAAATCAAATTAAAAAATGTTTCACAAGTAAATATATATGGAGGAAGGACTAAGTATTACAATATGAGAACTTGTCATTATTTTCAATTACATAAATGAGAAAATTTTCCTTAAATTGCAATTGAAAAAAAATAATTATATTTAAGAAGTTCCTCTTAACTGGAAATAATGATTAGCTTAAAAGAAAAACTAATGAAATGCATAACTATTATTTATCTCTACGCACATTTGAAATGCAATAAATTATACTGTTAGATTGAATTCAAACAACAAAAAAACTAATATTGCTAGTTATCCTCTGAATTCATTGGACACTTTTCAAAAGAAAAATCAATGGAAGTCTACAAACTATTTTTATGAATCTAATTTTAAACAGAATATCTCTTAATCCATTAAATAAAATTAATTTGATCTAGTTTAAACTTTTTAGGGGATGAAGTAAATGTTATTATGTATTGTTTCAAATGCTGAAAGAAACTCTCATCTATTGATGCATGAGTTATTTATACAATACAAATTCGTATTATTAATTCATAAGAATACTGTTAAAGAATGACAAAAGTCGCACATCGGTGGTTAATGAGATAGGTGACTCCTTATGAGGCTTGGACAATCCTCCTTTTTTGAGCTAGCTTTTGGGGGTGTGAGTTAGGCCTAAGAACTAATTAACATGGTATCAGAGCAGGGTCCATCTCACCCGATGTTGAGACCCCCAAAATCAAAATTACCTACCACTAGATGTTAAGCATTGGGCGTGAGATGGGGTATTAAAGTATGATAAAAGTCCCACATCGGTGGTTATGAGATGGGTGAACTCCTTATAAAGTTTGGGCAATTCTCCTCCCTTTGAGTTAGCTTTTGGGGTGTGAGTTAGGCCTAAGACCTAATTCAACAATAACACTCAGTACTAGTCAGTTAAGTTCTGTTTGCTTCTGTTTAAAATTCAATCTAACAATATAATGTATTGTTTTGATATTCGTGTATCTACTTCAAAAGAAACTTATCTAAAATTATCTATTGAAAGGTTTTTTTTTTACCTTCCCTTTGGAGCTCTCACTCCTTTTGCTCTCTTGATGACTCGTACTCGTAACCTTCGAATTGAATGTGAGGGTGCTTACCATTAGAGCAAACTCACTTTTAGTCTATTGAAAAGGGTTGGAATATAGAGATGATTAATAATTATGCATTTTATTTTTCCTTTTTTCTCTTCTTATTTTCTATTGCTTATATTTATTTTCAATTAAGAGGTACATAGATAGCAAAATGTTTAAATTGCAAACACGAGAGAATTTTTACTCCATCTGCTAAACAATTAAAAATGGGTCAACCAATTTTCTATAATGGATGTAGGGTATTGTATTTAAAATTGAATTCTTAATAAATGAGACGTAAATTTTAGTTGACTTTTGAATTCTTTTTCTTAGTTTTAACTTTGATGAAAATATGGGCATAATTTAATACCAAATTGACAAGAAAAATTCAAATGTGAGATATTTCTACAAATTGAATGACCTTTGACAAATTAACTCCACACTATATCTTGACCATATGTTATGTAATCTAATTCCAAGAAACTATAAATAGCCTTTTATCATTAAACTACAAAAGAGAAAAATAATATTTTTTTTTCTCAACATGAATTCTTACATCACAATTTTAATCATTTCATTTTTGTTTATCTTGTCCTTGAGTGGAATTGTTGCTACTCCTTCTACCGAGGGTCCTTTAACTCGTTATCAAATTTGGATTGTAAGTGACCTCCCTAATGGAACAAATCCTTTGTTTGTCCATTGTTGGTCCAAAGACAATGATTTAGGAACTCATTTTCTTAATCCTGGGCCTGAGGGTTATCATTGGCATTTTCGTGAGAATTTTTGGCAGACAACTCGGTTCAAGTGTGAATTTGTTTGGGTTACTAAGACCAAAACCTTTTATGTTTTTGAAAGTGATTCAGACAAGTGTAAAGGTCGTGGTAATATATGTTATTGGTTGGTTAGGGAAGATGGCTTTTATTTTGCAAATTATATCAACCCTTTTCCATATGACTTAAAACTCATGTTTTCTTGGTGATTCATACGATCAATTGTATGAGTATGATAAAATATCAATATATTTATGAAGTGTAGTTTCCTCATGATATATATCAAATTACATGATGATTATTCATGAATAATAATGATTATTTCAACTCAAAAGACTAAAAGATAACTATTGTGTTTGACTTTATTATGAGATCGCTTATAGTTTGGTTGTAGTAGGGTCAATGATGTTTCTTTGGGTGAATACAACATATTTTACTCCTTTTTTTTAGTGGGAGATATGTCTTGTTTTAATGTTTGGTATTCTCTTAGAAGCTCTTCAACATGTTTACACTAGTTCCTAGAAAGAGGTTCATGCATTTTACTAAAGTACTTTTATTTATATCAAGGTTGAGAGCAATTTTGTATTTTCTAAATTAGTTCGTAAGTTGATATGTTATTACTTTCGCATTATCAATTTCAAATCTGGTGGTAAAGTTTCTCCCATCTATGAGTTCGAGTAGGTGTTTGCACGACTCGATAGTTTAACTCGTGACAAACATAATAATATGTAAAGTTAAGAATTCATTTGAAACCAACAATAATTCTGATTTCTGAGTATTAGTTACATAGATTATTTTTTTATTAGACAATTTCAGAGCCTTCATTGATTTTTCTTTCTTCATGTTTGTAGAATCACCTGAAACATCCTCATCAAAATTTAATGAAAATAATGATAAAGTTAGGAAATAATGTCAATATTCACTCTCACTTTGAAAAATGATCCTATCTTCTTCTCCATAGTCTTCACTCTTCCTTCCATTTTTTGAAAAATGACTCATGTTCAGATTCTCCTTTCACAAACTACTGAAATTTTTGAAGTAGCTGTTGTAAATAAATCAGTACATGTTTCACATGCTTTCTGCATTCATCCTTCAGATATCCCAGGCATGAACCTTGTTTCTACTGTCTTTGATGGTAGAAACTATGGTGGCTGGAGAAGGGCTGTGATTATTGCTCAGAACAAACTAGGATTCATTGATGGATCTCTAGATGTTCCAGCTGATAAAGACCTGAAAATGAAAAGAGCTTGGTTAAGATGCAATGACATGGTACTATCTTGGTTGCTAAATTCTCTTTCAAAAGAGATTGTTGAGTCAGTTTTGTACTCTCAAAGTGCCAAAGTTTTGTGGTCAAATCTAGAAGGTAGATTTGGTCAAGCAAATGGTGCTAAGTTGTTTCAACTTCAAAAGGAACTTAATACTGTTGTTCAAGGAAATTCCATCTGCTTACTTTACTAAGATGAAAAGTTTATGGGATGAACTAGATGTTTTAAGCACTTTTTCTGCTTTTTCTTGTATTTGTATCTGTGGTGCTAAGGAAAAGGGCTTTAAGGCTCATCAAGATGAAAGACTACTACAGTTTTTAATGGGTTCGACTGATACTTTCTTAGGTGTCAGAAGCAATATCTTGTTATTTGCACATTTACCTACAATTGGACAAGCTTACTCTCTAGTAATTCAGGATGAAAAACAAAGAAAGATCCATGCTAATCCTGCTTATCAAGAGATTCAGCATCCTTTCTAGTAGGGAATAGAGGTGAAAGGAGAAACAATGAGTATAAGCCTAACAAAGGAACCAAGAAATCTTCATTGGTGTGTAGTTACTGTAAGAAAACAGGACACACCATAGAGCAATGTTACAAGATCCATGGGTTCTGATTTTAAGTTTACTAAACCTAAAAGATATCAAAAGGTACTTGTTGCTGGAAATGTTTTTAGCACAAGTGAAGCATCACAATAGGAAAATTCAGATCATGCATTTTTGAACAGTCTGTCACCAGAAAATGTTAGTCAACTATTAACACTACTGCAAAAGATGAATCAAAAGAATCCAGCTGAATCATCTACAAATATAATATCATCTGGTATAACTAAATCTCTTGAATCTCATGTTTGTCTACTTAAAATTGATAAATGTTGTTGGATACTAAATAGTGGAGCTTCAAAGCATATTACTTCTGATAAAGGTTACTTCACTAACATTAATCCTCTTACTATTAATCCTCTTACTGCACCTATGAGTGTCACTCTTCCTAATTCTCATAAAGTCAGTGTCACTCGTACAGGTTCTGTTAAAATCTTTTCTGATCTTATTCAAGAAAATGTGCTCTATATTTCTTCTTTTAAGTTGTGCTGATAACTTCAGAAATCTATTCTTTTCACTCCTAATTCTTGCTAGATTTGCAGGGCCCTTCGGTGAAAAGCCCTCAGGTACTTGGTAAAGAACAAGAAGGTTTATATATTCTTAAGAGCAGTGATCCAACTGTTGCCACAAGCAATACTACCATTTCAAAATTTAATAGTTTTACTTTTTCTACTTTTCTAGCAGATGTTTTTACTTCTTCTTCCAGTTATTTTGATTCCAATGTAAAAGAAAAGATGTGGCACTATAGATTAGGCCACATGTCAATGAGTAATATGAAAAAAGTTTTTCCTATTTCTACATCTTGTTCTAAATTTTCTTCCCCTTGTATTATCTATCCTATGGCTAGACAGTCAAAGTTACCTTTCCCTTCTAGCAATATTTCTACTACCTCTGTTTTTGAGTTTATTTATGTTCTTGGGGGTCTTATAAAACTAGTACTCACAATGGTTTTAGATATTTCACTATCATTATAGATGATTTTAGTAGAGCAACATGGACATATCTTCTTAGCACTAAATCTAATATTTTTACTATCATTGAATCTTTCAATCATATGGTCGAAAGGCAATTCAATTCAAAAAAAAAAAAATCAGAACTGATAATGCCTTGAATTGGATAGTGGTAAAGTATAAAGTGATTTTCTCATTTTCAAGGGAATTGTCCATCAAACCACTTGTGTTCACACTCCTCAACAAAATGGTATTGTAGAAAGAAAACACAAACATTTGTTGGAAACCTCTAGAGCCCTTTTATATCAGTCTCATCTTCCTATTAGCTATTGGAGAGAATGCTTACTCACATCAACTTATCTCATCAACAAATTTCCTTCTAGTGTCTTGCGATTCAAAACACTTTTTGAAATCTTCTTTAAAACTAAGACTATTTACTCTCACTTAAAATGTTTTGGATGTCTTTGTTTTGTGTCTACTTTACCTATTCATAGAAGTAAGTTTGATCTAAATGCTTGTCCTTGTGTCTTTATTGAATATCCTTATGGAAAAAAGGGTTACAAGGTCATGAATCTTCAAACTAAGAATATATATCAGTTTCAAGAATGTTGTTTTTCATGAAGAATATTTTTCTTTTTCTAAATATGTGCCTTCTACCAATTATTTTCCTTCTAATTCTTTACCTAATTTGTCTATTCCTTTTCATTTCACTATAAATTTGATCTTACTGATAATGCTCTAATTTCTGATGATATTTGTGACATTACTGAGGATGTGTCTCATGATCCTCCTATTCCTCCTATTTCTGATTCTCAGGATTCCTCACCTACTGATCTTCTAATATTCCTACTCCTTCACCTATTATTAAGACTCTTCTAAGGTAATCCACTAGAAACCACAAGAAGCCTACTTATTTAGAATCATATGCCTGGATGCTTTCCACTTTGTAGATGTTTCTTCCAGTTGCTTCTTGAGTCCTGTTACTCATAACAAATTATCTTTTAGTGATTTATCTTTTACCAATCAAATAATGCTCAATTCCATTTCTAGTATACAAGAACCTATCAATTCATATGCAGGCTGCACATCATCCAGGTTGGCAGAAAGCAATGGACAATGAACTTTCAGCTTTGGAGCTTAACAAAACTTGGGATATTATTGTCTTACCTACTGGTAAAAGATCTTTACCTTCCAAATGGGTTTTTAAAGTCAAACAACATGTTGATGGCAGTATATAGAAAGACTAAAGGCTAGATTGGTTATCATAGGGGATGTTCAAAAAGAAGGATGGATTGTAATGAAACTTTTTCACCCGTGGTCAAGATGACTACTATCAGGTGTCTTTTAGCTACAACAGTTAAACATGGTAGAGGAATTTTCCAATTAGATGTTAACAATGTATTTCTGCATGATTTATATAAAGAGGTGTTTCAACTCCTACTTCTAACCATGTCTGTTTGCTTAAAAAGTTCATTTATGGACTTAAACAAGCATCCAGACAGTGGTATTCTATGTTGACTGCTGCTCTTAATTTTAAAGGATTTCGTCATTCCTTGAATGATTATTCACTCTTCTTCAAAAAATCAGGCAGTTCAATTTCTATTGTTGCTATTTATGTGGATGATATCCTTTTGACAGGAAATTGTAAAGCAGAATTACACAATTTAAAAGGTTTCTTAGACAGAGAATTCAATATTAAGGATCTCAGTGATTTACATTTTTTTCTTGGAACGGAAGTTGTTCGTGAACCTCAGGGTCTGATTATTTCACAAAGAAAGTTCAGATTAGATCTTTTGAGAGACTTTGACTCTCTACATCTCAGTCCTGTTTCTTGTCCATTAGATCTTACTATAAAATTATTTGGCTAATCATGGAGAGCCTATCACTTATTCTACTTTTTATCGACACTTATTGGGGAAACTGAACTACCTGACTAATACGAGGCCTGTGCAGCACCTAAGTCAATTTATGCAGGATCCTTGTCAGTCGCACTTAACTGCTGCTTTGCGGGTGTTGCGTTACTTGCTAATGATCCAGGTCTTGGTCTATTTTTCCCATCCTCTTCCTCTTTCAAGCTGACAGCTTTCTGTGATTTCGACTAGGGTACCTGTCCAGATTCACGCAGATCAGTTAGTCAATACTCTTGGAACTTCTCCTATTTATTGAAATTCGAAGAAACGATCTTCAATCTCTCTTAGTTCAGCTGAAGCCGAATATAGCTCAATGAGAAGGGTCGTTGTTGAGCTAACCTGGTTAGTCCGTCTGTTCAAAGACCTCTCAATACCGGTGCCACTTCATTCGGATATCTTGCAGCCATTCACATTGCGAAGAATCCGGTATTTCATGAACGGACGAAGCACGTCGAACTGGACTGTCACTTCGTCCGTCAACAACTCATCTCATTGTCGTATGTTCGGGTCTACTTCACAACTAGCCGACATTTTTACAAAGGACCTGTTCATCATAATCTTCTCGGCAAGTTGCGTGTCCTCCAACTTGAGGTAGGGTGTCAATATTCACTCTCACTTTGGGCCTAACAAATTCATTCTCACTTTGGGCCTGATTAAGCTGATATCAAGTAGATAAGGCCCAACGTTTAAGAATAATATGGAAGCTGATATCAAATAGATGTTTTTCATTTGGGAAATTTTTCAAAATGTCAAATATAGAACCTCGAATAGTGATGAATCCATTCAGAAATAAAGGAAGGAAATTTGTATAAATTTTAATTTTCTCAAATGATAGCATAGGTGAATTAAGAGTAGAAATCTCAGACTCCAATGATATAAAAGAAGAGGTTGTTTCAAACTTGTCTTCCAGCTTCGATATTTTTAACTCGAAAATATCACTAAACTTGACGCGATTTATTTGTTTTGTTTCTGAACTACTGACTGTCTTAAAAATACATTTTTACTTGACTAAGTAAAGTTAAATACACCATCAATCATGCAACATGATTGAAATACACTCACGAATTCTCGCCAAGTTTAGGAGTGCTTTCAACACTTCTCTCGATTTTTTATTAAGGGTCTCATGCTCCTACAATAACTTGAAACCACTTGCTATGTCATGTTGCATATCGGGAGTGTATTTAAGTTTAATTAGTTAAGTAAAAGATATTTTTAATTTACAACTATCGATTGTTCAGAGACGAAACTAATAAGTTACGCCAAGTTTAAAATTATTTTCACTACCTATCTAAAAAATTATGCTATAAAATAATTTTATATTAAATGATTATGTAAGAAAAGCATATGACTTGTATAGAATGAATATGTAAGAAAAAGATTTGTTTTATGAAAATAAATGGTAATAATAATATAATATTAAAGAATGAGAATGTTTTTAAAAAATAAGAACTTTCTTTTTCGTGTAAAAATTTAGTATAGTGCATTAGAATTGATTTATCAATGTAAAAAATGAGAAAATAGCCTTAATTAAAAACCTGTGTTTATACATGATACTGCACCAACTGACTTATTTGAACTCTGCTTTATCCATGCATGCCTCCCAAGCACTAAATAAGCTTATTTTTACATAGAATAGATGGTAAATGTTTTGAGTGTTACTAATATGTTCACTCAATTATTCAAAATTACTTAGTAAAATTATGTTTATAATAGAAAAATCATCTTAATTTTAATTTTCAAAATAAAATTGAGGAGTGCAACCATCTATAGAAAGCATGCATAGGCCACCTCATCAAAGCCTGTAAAGGCTAAAGAACAACTTGACCCTTATTAATATCTAACGAATAATATCATATACTTTATAGATAATGAAAGAGTATTTATACCCATTCGTTCACACTTCCTTTTTTAGCCCCCTATTCTGTGGCTCAACGTTATTCCTTTCGACATGAGAACAACACTTAATTTATATAAATATTGAGAGGGAAAAGTTAAAAGAATAAAAAGAAAAGAGTGTGTTGATTAGGGGTTTGGCCAAACGCCTAAAACTTAGTAATTTTGATTTAAATTCTAAATTTATACTAAAAAATTCATTGAATATGTAAAAATGAACCTTGTAACAACGTAAAAAAATTAAATTTTAAAATCTATAAACTTTAAATTCTGACTCCCTTCTGAATATGTGGAGAGAATCCTTCTTGTGCAAAGCTTGGAAGGATTCTTTCTTGATAATGGCCCAGAATAAGAGGCTTTTTTCAGAGTCACTTTCTATCATCTTCCTTAGTTTTTGGCATTGTAAGACTTGTCTTGGCATGCGTAGAGATAAAGAATAATTATAATGTATATTTTGTGGGGTTGAAAGTTAAAGTGGCCTTGCAATTCCTTATCTCTTGGCTTTGATTAGCTTTGTGAGATAATGCATTTTTACTTTCTAAGGTTGTGCCATTTTTAATTTTGTTGAATTTTCTATAGATGATTTCAAGTATTATGAATAACTGAATTCTAAATTTAATTTTATGTATTTAATACAAATGTAATATTTGAATAAAAATAACTATTAAATTCAATCAAATTCGTAACCAGACTTTTAACTTCGGTGATCCCACCTCTTTTGTGAGCTAAACAGATAACAACAGTTTTATGTAACCTTAATTGGTATAACTAATTAATCATCAAGCATTCAACTTTTGATCAAGCTTTAGCTTTAAGCCTTTAACTATATGGATTCACTATGTCTAATTTGGTATAAACTATAGGGTAAATGTATAAAAGTAACTCATTTATGAATCTACATTTCTCAATTGACATGATGAACAAAAATATCTTTTAGACTAATTGGTAGTATATGTATTGTCCCACCCGTTAACTAATTAATCATATAGTATGTATGTTACTTAGACTATCTAAAATATTATCGCCTGTTTTATGAATTCAAAAAACGAAAATACTAATCTGGGAGAATTCACAGGTACTTGGTAAAAAAAGGCATTACTTTGGAAAAATGTACACGCACTTGATAAACGGAGGCATATCTAGAATTCGTGGGTTCACTTGATCCTTGCTTTCTTTTCTAGATCACATATAGTAGTGTTATATTTTTAAAAAAATACTTAAGTATAGATGTGTGAACCCACATTCAAAGTATATATCTTGTAAAAGCATGATGATAATTGGGTGCACCTCTCTAGACTTTAAGTGAGGATAGAAATTTAATCTTATGTATCGATATTGTTTTTTAAGTAACACCTCTATAAGTGGTTATTGGTAACACTTTTGACGTTTTAACTAATTTTTCTTTTATTTTTTTGCTTTAATTTTTTAAAGTTTAAGAGTGTTACATTGAAAATCCCCCAAAAATATATAATTAAATCATATGTGTATATAAAGATTTATGATGTATTTTAGACTTGTAATTTTTAAAATTTAACGGTTCATATTAAGAATCTAAAGGTCAAACTGTTAAAATTCATATCTTAGATGTGCTTTTTCATAATATATATCTATCCTTCTGAAAACCTGAAGACTCCTCTCACGGTAGGGGTGGGCGTTCGGTTCTTCGGGTATTCGATTTTAGAAAAGTGTGCATCATAGTTTATATCAAATTAGATCGATTCAGTTTGATTTTTTTAATTTTAATTCGGTATTTTTAAATCAGTTTTTCGATGTGAATAAAAATAAAGAGGGAATATGATAAAATGTTAAAAGTTTCATCATGTATTTAATAAAAATAAAGAGGGCTAGATGAATTTTGAGTAAAGTTGCCAAAGGATTTGTTTGTGTTTCTTAGCATAGATGGCAAGTCTTGGTATTTATTATCTATAGGACATGCATGTTAATTGTATTTACTTATTCACAAAGAGTCTTGTCATGTATATATATATATATATATATATAATTTTATTCAACAAGGATATTGAATTCAAGATCATATGAACTTAGACTCGTTTTGTTATTATGGAAGTTTAATTCAAATTTGCATGCTTCATGTTCCTTTGAGTTGCAACAACTTTGGCTAGTAATTTTCTGTGTTTTTTCTCCGGTGGCATTTTATGATTACTGTGGTCCTCACCCCCAAACCCCCTGTCCCATAAGCGTGATTCATTAAGAGGAAAATATTTTACCGTTGTCATTTAAAAATCAAAAATTATTTAAAAATCGAAAATTTAAATGGTCTATGTAAATATTTTGTGTCAAAATTTAAAAAATGTATATGTATTATTAATTAAGCAATATAATTTAAATATTTTTAAATTTATTTAAATAAAACTTCGGTTCTTTAGTGTACCGTAGTTTCGGTACCCTTACACCATACTCCAAACTGAAGAATCAAAGTTTCAAAAAAATTAACACCAAACCAAAACACCAAAGAATCGACAGCAAAAAATTAAATTTTTTTTATTCGATTCGATTTTTCGATATTTATGTCCATTGCTACCTGACATTAAATTTCAAAGTCTCTAGAATGTTCTAAACTCATTAGTTATTATTCATTTAACTTTCCGTGCAAATGATGAATCATCAACAATAATAATCTAAACGAGGGCCCGTTTAATGAAGAAATGTCAATTGTAAAATACGTCCAGCAATTTACGTTGCATTTGGTGGGCAAACGTGAATTAAGTACAATTTATTAGTCAATGTCCATGAATATTACAACGTGGCATTGTCATCAATAAGATTCACTAATAATGGCGACATACTTTAACAGTCCCAAACTCAAAACACATATACAAACTTGATTTAGATAATGAACCAATAACGTGCACAAAATGTAACATACCCCCACCGTATACCTTTAGCTAGCACCAAGGCAATTCATGGAACTAAGATAAACTTTCAAGTTCATTCGGCTATGTTGTATGAAATAGAGTGTTGATAATTGATCAGTTCAGAATGCATTCATTGAAAAATGAAGATATCAAAAATAAATATGCTTATAAGAATGTATAGACATACTACAACAGATAGTACTAGGAATAGCCTTTGTGGCACACAAAGATAATTGAAGTAAATACTGATTAGGATGGTTTTGATATGTGAAAATAAGGTTTGTGAAAGTAGCCAAAAAGAGTATGACAGATTTTGCTATAGCAGATTCTAGGAAAGTTAGAGCTAGACTGAAGAAGAATCGAAGAAGGTGATTAGATAGGACATAACACATTCTTAGTATAACGTAAACATGATTCCCAATAAAAAGATATGTCACATTAATAAAATAAATTATTCTATATACATAATGAAATAACTTATTTAAAAATTAATTATTTTAAAATAACTTATTTTCAATCAAATAATCTTAGTTATAATTAGTCATGAAATACTTTTTTTCCTACTATTAATCACTACTTTATTTACTGTATTTTAAATTGCACTCTAGAAAAAAAAAATCTAAATATGCTCTTGGAATTGAGAGTTTTGAAGGTGACATGGAATATATAGCATCCAAGGCAGAAAGTTTCCGGTTGAATAATCTTTTATTTGTAACTGAATTCTACAAAAGGCTACAATTAACCTCTATTCAAGCCATGTGGAAGAAATAATACATATTACGTGGTAGGGTCCACCCTCCATTTGTCACTATTTACAACTCTCCTCCTTTTTCTTTTCTTTTTTTTCGGTTAAACAAACATAACCTTCACTAATTCTCCAACAAAAAATTCCATATGCAAAACACCTTAATTCATTTTATTTACCAATTACTGCAATATCTTTTTATTTGATTGACTCACATCTTTTAAATATACTCTTAAATTATTATTAAGTTTATCAGATTAATATTACTCTCGGCTTTTAATTACAAGTCTAGTAATAGAAACACTTTGTTATGTCTTTCCTAAAGAATGTTCAAAAATATTTTGCTCAATTTTTTACTATAAATCTCATGATCCTACAAGAGAAAAATCACGTACCACTTAATATTTCACGGAACAGATTATATGAAAATTAAGTAAAAGAGTACTTTTGTAACTATTTAAAAATAAAACTAATAAGTTATCTCAAATTTTCAATATTCACTTCAATAATCTTCATGTTTAAAAGTTATTTTACTTGACTAGCTAAGTGGATTCTTTTTTCTGGGAATACTGAAAGATTGGTTGTATGATATAATAGCACAAGTGTAGATACATACTAAAACATTAGATATGATTATATTAAGTTAAGAAATGAACAAGACACATACATGATGCAAAGTCTCTCCCTTTTGGTTCAATGCATATACAAAAACCAAAGCATGAACAAGACGGAGAGTGAGCAACCTTCACTATTACATGACTCTATTCACTACTACACCAACCTCTGCAAATGTCAAAAACACCATTGCAGGAGGCCATACTTGACACCATACATGATATATCCAAAAAAAAAAAGTAATACTACAATAAAGTATCAAAGAGCTGCCCAATCAATCTCCACGGAAGGGTACTTGGGTAAAAAGAAGTTTTCTGATTCATCGAAAGATGGTTCAGCGAAATCCAAGAAAGTAATATCAGACTCAGACGAAGATGATGATTCCTCAGAGGGTGTAGGGGGTGATGATGATGATGAAGCCTCAATCTTGATAGTACCATTTTCTGGATAGCTGAATTCTTCTTTCAATGAATCATCTGTGGTGATTTCTGACTTTGATGAAGATTCTTGAGCTGAATTTGAATCCACTGAAACTGCTGCAGTTTTGGACTTTCTTGGCTTGGAATTAGATTTAGAACACGAGTCATCTGATTTGGGATTAGCCAAGCTTTGGCAAATGGCTTGAAGTTTAGCATCCACAGAGGAATGCAAAGGCTTGAAATCAGAGAATTCATTGTTTAATTGATGCCTTAGATGTGGAAAATTAAGCCTAGCAAACTCACCTCTTAGCTTATAAGCAGCTTTGTCATAAGCCAAAGCAGCCTCTTCAGCTGTATCAAAAGTGCCTAACCAAAGCCTAGTTCTGTTCTTAGGAAGTCTAATTTCAGCAACCCATTTGCCCCAATGGCGTTGTCTAACTCCACGATAAAGCTTAGTAGCCTTCTGTGAAGAAGTAGCACCCGTTTGCTTCATTGGGACTGGTTTCATACCAAGAAAGTTAGTAGAATTCAGATTCTTAGAATATGTTGAAGTGGGTGTTAACAAACCTAAGCTCTGTTGTTGTTGATGTAATAGTTGTAGTTGTTGCTGTTGATTTTGAAATTGGATCTGAGCTTGGATTTGCAAGATCTGAGAAGGGGTTAGATGGTTAAGCCCAATTGAACCTGTTTCAGCTACACCCATATTGTCAAAACACGAATACCCTTGAGAAAACATTTGGGTAGCCGTTGATGGGATTGTGCAGAAATCAGTATACAAATTAGGCTCACCAAAAGTATAGAAAGAAGAAGACGAAGTTGAAGGTGAAGAAGAAGAAGAATAAGAAACACCTTTCATAAAAGGTTCAAGTGCTTTCATAAGTTCTTCTGTTAAAGGATCTGACAAGTTACTGCTGCTGCTGTATACATCTATAGCTGCTGCCATGGTTAATATCAAAACACACAAAAAGTATTACCTCTTTCTAATATCAAAACTACACAACAGGTAGAGATTTTTACAAAGCTTTCTACAAATCAAAAAAACCAACCTTTAGGGATACGAAAAACAGACCCTTGTGGTTGTTTGAACAATTTAAAAAATAAAAAGAGAACGTTGATCTCTGTTCTGGATCACCTGGCTTTCAAAAACAAAACACCTAAAAGGGAGTTTGATTTTTGTATAAAATTTCTGAAATTGAAAGACAGACGACAACAGAAAGGGATCTAAAGAAGCGGGATGTTAGAGAGGGGGGGGGGGGAAAGAAAATGTAAATACACACACAATATTTTAGGTAGCCTCACTGATTTTTTTTCACTCTGACAAATGTTGAACATCGCCTCTCAATTTAAAGACCTGCTATGTGCCTTTCTTCTCTCTCCCTCCATTCAATTTTGTTTTTTTTTTTAATATTATATTCGATCCGTTCATTTTATATTAAGTGATTATTTCATATTAATTATTTATCTTACTAAACTAAAATTTTTCTTATATTACATTTACGATTAACTCTTTTTAAAAAATATTCATATTTATTTATAAGTTAATACAATCATTTTTTTATTGTGATTTTCAATATATGCCTAAAAAAATATAGGGTCCATTTGGACTACCTGAGATCTATTTTTACCAGCCCCCTACCATTAAAGTGAGTGGGACAATGTTCCTTCTATCTCGGGTGGTATATTTAGTTAAAACTTTTTAATTTTATAATTTTTTTATGCATAAAAATTTTGACAGTTATTTTCTAATTACAGTTCGTCACCAAGTAGTGTGTTCATATTACAATTTTTACTTGTTGCATCAAAACTCTTTTTAGGTCAACTTCCGAGCGCGATATGAGAATAAAACGATATAAAATTAAAATTTTTTATTTAAATATGTAATATAAATTTATTTTGTCGTATTTTCTTAGTATAAAAATAAAAACTTTACAAATTGTGAAAACTATTTTAAAATATGTAATTCTGGCAAAATATCAAATAAACAAATCATAGTTTATAGTATATAAGAATCAAAATATCTTTAAGACATCATTAAATATAAATAATTTTATTAAATCATTAATCAATAATAATACTCATTATTATTTAGTATTATTTTTACATTAAACATGACTGTTTTTCTTTTGAGAAATTTAAAATGATAAAGCTTCTTTTACAAAAGGCAAACTTTGAATTTTTTTGTCAAAATTTAATTTGAAAATTGTACAAGTACCTCCCTAATTATAATCAAAATTTCAGAGACACACCTTAATTAAATTAAGGTTCTATTATCCCTGAATTTATATTTTTAATAATTTTGTGTACTTTTTATCTTACGTGGCACACTCGTGACTTCACGCAATTGAGACGATATTTTGATGTCACGTAGGTTAAAAATGTGCACAAAATTACAAAAAAAAATAAGCTCAGAGGGTAATAGAACTTTAATTTAGTTAAAGTGTGTTTTTAAAATTGTAATTATAGTCTAGAAAATACTTGTGCATTTTCTCAATTTATAATGATACGTTTTCAAATCCATTTCATACAAACTATATCCTGTTTAATTTGAAATTTGAAGAAAATCTTACCAAAATCAAGTTCAAGTTGCACTATAATATCATACACTACCAAAATGGACATTTTTGATGCATGAAAAACTTCCCTTTTAATTGAAATTTTAGCTACTAAAACTACTTTATACTTAAAAGTTAAAGAGATGGACTTTTTGTCATGCCAGAAAAGAATATTAAGGTTTGAATTTCAGAGAGGGAGGAAATCTTTTTAAAGCATTAACTAAAAATTGTATTATTGTCCACTAAGAGGTAAAATTATTTTGTTATTAAATTGATATTTAAAAATCTATTACCCCTTTCTATATTAGTGAACCATTATATACCATAAAAATAATTATTCTTCTTAAAAGAATTAAAAATTATCTTTTCCTATTATACTTACAATTAATTAGTTTTACAAGTATTTTAAGAAATAAATTAATTTATCTAAAAATAATCGACCGAAGAAAATACGAGTACATATAAAATTAGATGAAGTTGGTGGAGTAAGTTTGAGGTAAAGTTAAAAGAGTTAAATGAAGCATTATCTAGTTGGCAGTGGGTCTTAAAATAAAGTAGAAAGTGACCGGTAATAACCAGTCAACTAATTCGGCTAACCCACTAATGAGTTAATACGCCGAACCAACCTCCACCTGTCAGTGTTAAACGCGTTTTCCGTATCCTGACGTTTCAGCGACACATTGGCTATATTTTCACGCATTTCAACGTATCTTTAAAACTTTGACAATCAGACGTGAAACATTATAATTGATGCAACACACTTTCTTATTCCTCTAAAAATGTTTTTATTTTATCATATAAATGGTAGAATGTAAAAAAAAATTATTAACATTAATATTTTTAAGACAGTCTAATAAAATAAGGTTTAAAAGGATAGAGTTACGTAAACTATTTACCTATATAAATTAGACGCAAAAAGTTATTACAAATAGACTTTCAACTTGAAACAATAATCTAAATTAGGTTTTTAAAAAAGTTACAAAAAATAATATGTAATATTAAGACTACGAAAATGAATAAAAAGCAAGACAAATGCATTGTCACTTCAATTCATGTTAGCTGCGCTTGGTTATTTAAAGTAATGTGTTTGACTGAGTGAAAAATTGTGTCATGCCTAATTTAATACTTATTCAATCTAGATGTACTTCTCATGAAATTATTCATAGTCAATTTCTCAAATTACATTGGGACATTCATATTGTATATGAAAACCAAAAAAATGTTCTAGTGCATAATTAATGCAAGAAAAATTTGTTAAATAAATTATCTCTTATTTTTGCAATCAAACAATATCTAAAGCTTAATTAATTTTAATTAATATATGGATAACTTCTCTTCGATAAGCAATCAAACGATCTTTATTACTTCACTTATTCTAATTTTTTATCAAATAAATTATTTTTCTATCATGATTTTTTTTTTAAATATTTGAAATATTCTAAATTATTAACATTGGGATTTTTTTTTATGTAGCTTTCAAATATGTGAAATTTATTTGAATAAGTTAACAAATTTAATTATGTTCGAAAGTTAAAAAGTTTAATTTTTGAAATATAAACGGTACCACGTAATTTGAAATAAAGATATGTTTATGTGTACAAATAAAATATAAAATAAAATATCTTATATTTACAAATGAAAATCTGATAAAACAGAATATAGAGTCACGGACTAATCTTTTCTCGTAAAAACTAAAAGATCATTTCTCCCGACTAAAATGGAGGAAGTATTTGTTATAAAAGTTTTTATTGAATAAATCAAGAATCTATAAACTATATTTTTAAAGTTATACAAATGTTAATACTGAGTCTTTAGTCAATGAATTTTTAACCAAACTAAATCATTATATAAAACAATTTATTAAAGTAATAAATTTTTTTAAAATTTTATAAAACTAGTATAAACGTATTTCATGGTAACGTTTTAGGGTATATTTTATTTTTTAAAAACTAACAACATTAGGTTGATATACGTTATTGTAAGTAACGTTTTACTTTTAAAACGTTATTTCCAGTAACGTTTTAGGAGTAAAACGTTAATGTAAGTAATGTTTTAGGAGTAAAACGTTACTGTGAGTAACGTATATCAATCTGACGCCATCAGCTTTTAAAAAATAAAATATATCCTAAAACGTTACTGTGGAATACATTTATAGTAATTTTATAAAATTTTAGAAAAACATATTATTTTGATAAATGACTTTATATAATGATTTAGTTTGGTTAAAACCCGTTAAGTCAATAGGTGAGTATATATTTACTCATTGTTTATCAACTAATACATACTAGATTTAAAAAAGAGTAAAGAAAGGTATAAAGGTAGCCCTTGGATATCTAGAGAGTCGTTTATTCCTCTTTGTAACTTGACACAACTAAAGACAAGTGCTCCTTTGGATATCATTCTCAAATTCATACCAACTCCCATCTAACCAAATGCACACTTCTATCTAATTCCGTCATTAAAATGGACAAATATGACACATAAATATTCTTAAATAAATCACCTCTTTCGACCTAGTAAAAGAAGATAAAGACGAAATTTTTTAAATTTAAATTCCAAGGCCAGGTTTATAATAAATTTTGGGAAATGGATTTAATAATGAAATGGTTTAGTGACGAATTAAAATAAAAATTAGTTATAATAGGCACTATGCGTTGGGTTCATTGTCCTGAAACTTGTAAAATTATTAACCTATTTCATATTCCAAAACATCAACTTTGTTGTATTGTAAGTGATGAGACAAATGCAATAATAAAGAACCAATATCTTAAATCGGCTTGAAAAAAATAAATCGTGTGTACCATGACAATGAGGTAATTAGTGAATATTCCCCATTTCATTTTACTTTGATTACCATATATCAAAAATAAAATTATTTTTAAATATTATTTTTATCACTGAATGATTAAATAAAATATTAATTATTTAAAATTAAATTTCTTAAATAATGTCTAGTCAATATGAATCAAATATAATGAAACAAAATATATATATAACTAATTAGAAATACTTTCTCTGTTCGTATTATTAGTTCATTTAGCTTTTTGAAAATCAAATTACAAGCTATAAATTATAATCTAACACTCTAAAATATATATATTTTTATTATATTAATATGAGAATTTTTATAAATAATAATAAAATTAAAAGGTTAGGTGGTGGATATGGAATAAGTCAAAGTACCGACGTAGAAGGGAAGTAAATATTTTTTTAAAAATAAAAAAATAAAAAAAAGAAGTGACTGTGGATAGTGGAGAAGACAAAGACAATCTATCGTCAATTGCGGCGCCCATTGCTTGTACGTTCTAGAGTTGCGTGTAGGGGCAATTTCGTCTTTCTTTCACCTATTAACTTTTATTAGAGTGTGGTCCATCTTAACCATGGTTCAATTTAATTATATTTAAATTTAAATGTCTTCATCTCAATGAATACAAAAAAAGACATAAGGTCAAAAATTTTACTCATTCACTGATGTGGAGTGTTTTATTATCATCCCCTTGATGCTAGGTTTCTGATTTTTTTTTCTCATGGTTTCACCGCTTAAATTGGTGCGTGCACATTTATAGAGAGGCCACTGACTTTCTAAGGATTATATTTAAATTAATTATTATATCGCCTAAAAATAGGCTATTTGAATTTAATTTAATCTCAAAAATTAGTTGATGAAGTGAGAATTAAATTTTTTTTTTTGAGTTAATTTTTAAAATTGAATTAGATTTCATAGTTGTCTTAATTTGAACTATAGATGC